TCTTCGCTCTTTTTTGAAGTGGAGGGTAGAGCTGATCAGTGGCGCCGGGATGAAGAAAAAACATGGAAAGCAGTCCGGAAACTGAGAAATGGACCTCTTCCTTGCCCGTTGATTTCCGCATGATGCGACTCTCATCGGTGCTGCTCCTCTTCAACGACACGCTCTCTCTGCTAAACGGTCAGAAAGCCGTAGTTAGCCAGTCGGTGGGCGTGCCGCGCCGACAGCGGCCATGTTAGATCGCTGGGGGCATATCCTTCACTGCGAATTGCGTGTAGGTGCAGGTGCCGTTGGGGTTTGCCAGTCATTTCACAAGGTGAATTTTCCCTTCTTCGACCTTCGAACTTATCGAGATAATCCTTTAACTAGGACGCACCTACACCAGCAACAACGCCAAAGAGGCAGAAATCAGTGCAACAACTGTCAAGGCGCGATTTTTTTCGACTGATTACCAACAAGACAGAAGTGCATGCATGGCTCACAATAGGAATAAGTAATTACCCTTCTGTGAAAACGGTAGTCAAGTCAAAGGGTCTTGCAGTGGCAAAAGGGGTTTGCGACCAACGATCATATACGCCCACCGTCGCGAATTTCTGCATCTCCTTCAGCTCTCCAACTCAAAACTTACATAAAAGAATGTCCTATTTACGCCACCCGGTCCAGCATTGGGAATGCCATCCACGTATTGATAGTACAGAAAATTTAAAAAATTAATGGCTCTTCAATAGTGAGCTCTGCTCGCATTCTGACGAAGAAGTCATCGCAGCGATTTCATGTTGTAAGAGGCCTCACGCCGATAGAAAACCTCCAGTGGAAGCCTAATTCATCAATAATCCACGAAAACATTAATAACTTGGAACCAATGCGAAGACTATTTCAATGAAATTTAGTGAGTACAACGTTTTCATAAGCACATTTCAAACAATCGAAATTGCATTGTTCCCCCTTCAAGAGCTCTTCAAGAGTGATCGAGTGGGCATTCGCCGATGAAATCAAAGGCACCGGAACCGTTAACGACCTAATTCCTTTATAAATAGTGTGGTGCAGCCGTTCACTCTACGAACCACAAATGAGAAACGCCGCACAATTAGCAATCTGTCGGCGCAATTACCCGCACCACTTCGCTTTTGTGAACACGCGGTAGCGGCCGTTCAATCAGCCATTTTCTGCTGCAAAAGTCGTAAAGAAGCGAACGTAAAACTAAGCAACTAAAACAAATTGAAAACATCTGGCCATAAAACCTGCACACATAAGTTCTTGT